GCAGAGCCATATTTGAGGATCAACTCTGCAGTTCTTGCTGTGCAGCCTCCTCTCCCGAGCTTCGGTATTATTGTCATGACAACCGATAAACGCTGAATCAGCACTCTCTGAGAATGGAGCCAGCAGCAGAGCTGGGCATGGAAGACGAGCTCGCCACTGGACCTATGGAGACTGAGGCGGCGAACTACCTACGGAAACACAAGATCCCACGGTTGTTGGAGAACCTTACGGCCGCACTGGTCTACCACCGACCGGATGATCCGCGGCAGTTCATGAAAGAACAAGTCGAGAAACTGTTGAAGGCAAAGGCGGACCCGGCACAGAGCCCGCCTGCACTAGTGGACGAGTCCAACGTGGTGTCCGTGTTCGGGATGCTGGACCTGGCCGGGAAGGGTAGCGTGTCTCGTCAGCAGTACCTCGCGGCTATGGAGAGCCTCGGGGTGAGCGGCTTCAGTCAGGACCCGCCCGGAGCCGAGATCGACAAGATCAGCAGAGACACGTTCCTCACGGAGGCCAGCTCGGCCCTGAGAGATGCCGCCACTACATTCTTCGAAGACTGAAACACTCACACACAACACAACAACTCGGGTTCACATTATCATTGAGTTTCCGGAGTGCATCTGGAGTGAAACCGTTGCCGTATTTTACTCTCATACTCATTACTAGATGCTGCTAATCCAGCAGTCAGAAACTGTCCTGCTAGACCTCCAGTTTTGATCTCAGTCAGTAGCTCTCTTCTCACTGAGTTGGATCTCTTTGCAAAGCTACCTTTCTCTGTACCTGCACACAATGACCCATATACTCCATGCAGCAATCATTCCAAGTTTACCTTTATATTCACCGATTGATGAAGAGACACATTTCCTCAGGATGATATCTGCTTGATGCACATAACTCTCTAAGCTCTCAACTCTGCATGCCTCCTATATAGAGAGGATAAGAGGAGATTCAGAATAGGGGTGGGGCTGGGTATGCTCTCTGCGCGATTTGCGCATGCGCATTTCGAGAAAGCGCCTATACAAAACGGAGCAGTTCTTCCGCAGCATCGCAGCGGACGGAGTGCTGGTGTCTTGCATCTGTTGGGAGGAGAGAGAGAGAGAGAGAGGCGGGGAAGGAGAGGTCATGGACGGAACAATCTTGAAGGAGATTCTGCGAAACTGCACCGAGAACGGGGATCGTCCGGTCTACCACTGGGTCGACCGACACGGCGCCGTCGAACGAGTCGTGACGTACGCCGAGCTCGGGAAGCTATCGCGAGAGCTGTCCGCAACACTGCTGGACTCGCTGAAGCTGCGCCACGGAGACAGAGCTCTCCTCTGCTACCCGCCCGGCCTCGACCCCATCATCACGATACTAGCGTGCCTGGAGGCTGGAATAATTGCAGGTATAATAGGTAGCTATAGCTATGGGTGTTCATCACGGTTCTCGATGTTCCTCGTTTACTCGATTTTTGCCTCTGTGGCTAGCAACCAGTGGCCCTGAATGTAGACAACACCCCTAACCAAGAAACCAAGCCTCACATTGTTTTTACATTAGTGCCCAGTTAGCTACAACAATACAGGTCTCTGTCACCCACTTCTCTCCTTCCCCCCCTCTCTCTCTCTCTCAGTACCAGTTAACCCACCAACACAGGAGAACAGCTACACCACTGCACTGCTGGTGACCATCACGCAAGACTGCAGTCCAGTGTGCGTCCTCACCAATGATTTCTACCTCCAGAACACCGATGCTCATCTGGTATAGCTACCACCACACCACACACCCTATAATAGCTACACTCTCCACAACATATTTTTTGGGGAGATTTCTCCATGCTCTTCATGATGGTGTCCATTTGATCTTGAACCAACTTTTGTGGAAGGCAACCTTATCCACATAATATTGTGTACTCTAAACCCCAGATGGAGCAGTTGAGAGTCAAGACAGGGATAGTGTGGCACTCCACCACTGGAGTTGTGAAGGAAAAGACTCAGTCCTCACCCACTGCCCTGGATCAAGTCAAGTTCACTGACATTCCTCTACTCCACTACACCTCTGGAACCAGTGGTGAGTGACTCCTGTCGTCAATAGACAATCAGTAAACTCAACAACTCACTGACTGTTCTGCACTGCAGGTTCCCCTAATGGAGTGATGCCCAGCCACGCCAGTCTCCTCCACAATTTCAAACTCCTGCAGGGTAGCACGCAGAGTGATCACACCACCACAGTCATCTGCGCTCTCCCCCATTTCAACCCAGTTGGCCTCCTCTGCCACTACCTCTTTGTCCCCTACTGTGGGGCCACCGGGTATTTCACCTCGCACGAGACCGTCTCGAAATCTCCCAGTCTCTGGCTCCAGATGATCTCCAGGTTCAGAGGAACATTCTCAGTGGTTCCTAATGCTGTCCTAGACAATGACAGTTCGACTGAGGTACCACCTAATGTTGACCTCGGCTCCCTTCACTTCCTCGGAAATGGATCGGACTCAGTGTCAACCGAGAGTATGAGACGGTTTCGTGACAAGTTTTCTGGTCGTGGTCTCCGCAAGGGAGTCCTGCAGGCTTTCTATTGGCTGTCGGAGCACACCATGTTACTGTGTTCATCTACAGAGGACGAGTTGGTGGTGGAGGGTTCAAAGGTCAGCAGTGGAAGACCACACCCCTCAATCAGTGTGAGGATAGTCGACCCTAACACACGCGAGGAGGTGGGAGAGGGTGAGGAGGGGGAGGTGTGGGTTGACAGCGAGTCAAAGGCGATGGGCTACTGGAACCGAGAGGAGTTGACTAAGGAGGTGTTTCGTGCCCAGCTGGTCGGAGACAAAGAGAAGATCTACCTCAGAACTGGAGACATGGGTTTCTTACTCTCTGGGCGTCTGTTTGTTTCGGGGAGACGCGAGAATCTTATGTTGGTCAGTGGACGCAGGGTCTACATGAACGACATCGAGCATCGCATGGAGGCTCAGTTCCCGGAGCTGAGACCAGGGAGGACGGCAGCAGTTGAGTGGGACTCAACACTGGCTCTAGCTGACCACATGGTTTCTCCAACACACACCCAGGCTCCGCGGAAAGGCATCGGGTTATTCGCCGAGCTTCAGAACGAGGAGCACTTTCAGGCGGCCGACTGTCACGCCCTCACAGAGAGAATAGCAGCTCAGGTCGGTCTCTATTATCGCGTGGAGACTCTTCTAGTGGCACTTCTTCCCAAGAACACAATGCCACACTCGTGCTCGGGGGAAAGACATCGCCCGCTGTGCAAGGCGAGGCACCTGAGCGGACTCCTGCAGGTGATATACCAGTGGTCTCCCTCCAGTACAGACAGCAGAGCTGTGAGGCCAGAGTGTGTCCCCTTGCCTCCCACTCCAATCCCTGCCAAACAGTCCACCACGAGGAAGCCCCCGTCTCCTGGGCAGAAACAGCAAGTTACATCGCCTGCCAAAGTCCCAGAGTTAAAGTTAGAGGCCTCGCCCACTTTTGAGGAAGAGATAAGTGCTGGTGTACCGAGGAAGGAATCGCGATTCTGCCTAGAGGATGCTCCACCAACCGACCAGTTGGAGACACTCGCAAGTGTTGCACAGAGTGCACTTCGCCTTGAGCACCTGGCCCCACCCGACGCTGCGGAGAGAGAGAGGAGCAGGGGACTCGTCGGCCAGGAGAACGCCGTGCTCTCCATCATCAGCACAGTCCTCGAGGAAGACATCGGAATGGACACCAACATCTGGGAGCACGGCTGCGATTCAATCAGTGCCATCGAGATCAGCAGTAGTCTGGAGCAGCACCTCGGGTTCAGTGTGGAGCCCCACCTCCTCTTTGCCTACCAGACTCCACGAGCTCTGCTGGAGAAGCTCAAGAGGACTCTACTCCACCTCTGCTCTCCGGTCGGTGCAGAGCCAGACGGACTGGACGCTCCTCCTCTACCTCTCGGTAGCCGGCGCTCGCTCATGTCGAGTCAGGAAGACGAGGTGGCAATTGTCGGAATGGCCTGCCAGTTCCCGGGCTGCTCCTCCCCAGAGGAGCTCTGGGAACTCCTGACTGAGAAGAAAGTGACCGTCTCTCATTTCCAGGACCCTACCACGGGGACGTGGATCCACGGGGGCTTCACAGACAGGATGGCTGTCTTTGACTACAAGTGGTTCAACACCTCGGAGAGAGAGGCCGCCACACTGGACCCACAGCAGTCTCTACTCCTCCATACTGCCAGCGAGTGTCTGCGTCGCTCCGGGTACACCTCCCTGGACGAAGTCAGAGGCTCGAGAATCGGGGTTTTCATCGGGTTTTGGGGCAGCGACACTCGTGCACTGAGCCTCTCCTCCGAGAAGAAACCCCCCTACACCAGTTACATTGGTACCATGACTGCCAACAGAATCTCCTATGCTTTTGATCTGAAGGGACCCAGTATGGCGGTCGACACTGCCTGCGCCGCCTCGCTGACGGCTCTCGAGGTGGCGATCGCGTTCCTCCACCTCGGCAAGTGCTCCGAGGCATTGGTGGGCGGAGTCAACGCTCTCCTCGATCCTCGGGTGTTCGAAGTCTCGTCGGAGATGGGTGTGACCTCTCCAAAGGGGGAGTCCCTGGTATTTGACGTGGAGGCTCGCGGCTATGTCAGAGGAGAAGGTTGCGGAATGGTTCTCGTCAAGAGGGTCCGAGATGCTCTCAGACACAGGAATCGGATCCTGGCGGTGGTGAGGTCGGTGGAGTCTCTCCACAATGGAATCTCAGCCACTCCCACTGCACCCAACATTCAGTCTCAGAGTCAACTGCTCCGTACTTCCCTCGGCAGTGCCACGTTGGGACCCAGCGACCTGTCGTACTTTGAGGCCCACGGGACCGGAACGCCACTCGGCGACCCGATGGAAATGACCGCCATTCAGGAGGTGTTTGCCACTCAGTCGGAAGTCAACCGAGAGCCGAGGGTGGGACCCTTGATTGTGGGGTCAATCAAGGCCAACATTGGCCACCTGGAAGCTGCAGCAGGCATTGCGGGGATCATCAAGACGGTGTTGGTGCTTGAACATGCCAAGGCTCCAGGAAATCCTGGGCTCAAGACTCTCAACCCAGCCATGAAGATTGAGTCAGAGAAGATTCTTCACCCCACAGAGATGGTTGCTCTGGACTCGCACTACATGTACCGGCCGCAGAGCTATAACCTGCTGTCAGCCGCAGTCAGCAGTTTCGGGATCGGAGGATCGATAGCCAACGCGGTGCTGCAGCAGTTTTCTCAGCTACCTCACCTCGGCCAGACAGAGTGCAGCCTCATCCTCGAGGGAGAGATTGGAGACACTACACGAGACCAAGTCATGACGGCCATCCAGCTGCTCCGAGCCAGACTCCGCCCCTTCAACTCCGCCTACCGCTACTGTGTGGAGGGCTTCCAGCGTGCCATGAAGCCAGTCAAAGTCCCTGCGTGTGAGATGTACTACCACCATCCAGCTTTCCTCACGTTCTGTCTCCTCTACAGCATAGCTCGGACTCTCCAGGCCCACGGTACTGACCTCTCCTTCATGATGGGCACCACACTATGTGCTGAAATGGTGGTGTTGGCGGTGTCAGATGTCCTCCTCCTCTCAGACGCAATGAGAGTCCTCCTCGCAGGAATGGCTCCACACGTCTTCAACATCAAGTTCATCATCGAGGAAGAGATGGAGCCAATGATGTCATTTCTCTCCCCGACGCTAAACCAGCTGTGCCTCCCCGGCCGCTTCCCCCCGGCCTCGCTCAACCAGTTGATCTACGAAGTCCAGCGAAAGAACCCCATGCAGTCGACCTGCAGTAATCCTTCGCTCGCCGCAAACCTGGTGTCGATTGCCAAATCTGGATACGGCCCTCTCCTAACGGTCACCCTCCACCCAGAGTCCACCATTGTAAAGGCAACTAAAAAGATCAGCAAAAGTGCAAGTGTTCTCAATATCAACAGTCCGGGGCTCATTGATCACTTCAGGGAGACATGTCTCCAGCTTAGAGCCAACAGCGACAAAATTATCTCCAAAACAGATGGTCCGTCGGCAGACGTGGAGATGCCGAGGTTTTACGAACGCTTCCCGATGAGAGCTGTCCAACGCGGGCTCCCTGTCCAGAAGGTCAAAGGTGAAGGTCGTGTAAGAACACCTGGTAAACCTCGTACAAAGAGCGATGATGTCGTGAAGCCGAAGCATCGTCTGTCGTGTGCGGATGAGTCTGGCTACCTCACTCAGACCACTTCAGCCGAGTCTCTCAAAAACAGTACTCCCGTGACCTCCCCGACCAAGCCACACCCAAAACCACACCCACCGGTCACTCCTCCGACCGATCCAACAATGTCCTCGACGGAAAAGGCAATCTTGTCTGGTACGATGGATTTCATCAGAGGAGACCTACTGAGTGACCTGGCTCTTACTGACGAGGAGGCCGGGGAGAGAGAGCTACCATCACTTGGTCTCGACTCGGTGGCACTAATAGAACTGCAAGACCACCTGCTACAGTCGTGGAAGGTCGACCTCCCTCTGCTGAGAATGATGAGCGACCTGAACACCATCAGGGCCATTGCCAGAGAAGTGGCCGAGCTCTCAGAGGAGAACCGGAAACAGGAGGCAAAGAAGGGGGCCTACTATACCATACCCCCAACGGAGGAGCTGGGCCTCTACAGCAGAGAGAAGTTGAGTGGAGTCCAAAACTTCACTGTCGGGAGATGGGGCTACGGAAAAGTCGAGTTCTTTGGAACCGCGGACATCTCCGAGTTGGATCTACACAGCCAGCTGGTGGAGATTGAACGTGGATCCATCCGACTGTGTGAGACGAGCAAGTCACGCCTCAATCAACCCGCACTGCTGTTCTTCAAGAGCGCCTCTTTTTCCTCGTCCTCCTCCCAGGGGGTGGGTGAGAGAGGAGGCACGGCCAGAGAGCTGCTCAAGTCTCTGGGAGAGTCTGCTAGTCTCGTGAACAGCGACTGGGCCACGGGAGAAGTGGTGATCAAGATAGACAGATTTCCTTCATGAACACTACAACATTGGGTGGTGGCCCGGCTTCTTGACTGACTATGTCGTAGAATAGTATATAATTATATGTGATCAAATTCTGTTTCTGCATGAAATACATGATGTACGTTGAGTAATAATTACCTTCATTTCGTGGTCTTGTTGAGAGGCCGGCTGCTCAGGATTAGCAAGTGCTCCGGATATCAACTCTTTGCCTGCTATCCTACACACCATGTAGTGAAAGAAACTGCATGAAAATATTTATTGCTGTGGATGGGATTGGTGACTGACAGTCCTTCGGTCAGAAAGCCTTCCCTTGAACTGCTGTTGTTGAAGAGAACATGGCTTCGTTTCTCCCAGCCGTGACTGGACGGTTCGGGCAGCTCCAGGCTCCGTTCCATGTTCGTAATCGTGGAATCGGGAATGGGAATCTGTCTCCTCCTGTTTCTGTCCTGAGCCACAGTCAGATCACAACTGACGCAGATTTCGGCAAAACCAAGACAATCTGTTGTATACAAGCAGTAAGTACACAACCACAGAGTAGTGGCTAACATTTCTTTGCCAATTGATAGAAAACATATCGCATGCTCCTTAGAGGAAGATTATCATCCGCCACCACGACACTTGGTGAGACAAGATGGGTCCTGGGGTAACAGCAGACACGTTAGTGTTTTTCATTTCTAGTGTCAAGACCCACGCACCCTCTCCTATCACTGGTAAGGAGGTGGGGATATTTCTGGAGGTAGCTAGTGAAGGTGTCCCAGAGCTGAGGTAAAGTGCTGTCTTTGCCCCCCACCACACTCAGCTCTATCAGGTGCTCTATGCACCGGACCACTGCTTGTCTAGCTTCCTTCGTTTGGAACCCTACCGCCTCCGTTTCAGAGCCGTCCTGTGGACGGGAAACACGGTATTCGGTTAGCGGAGCGAGCACCACCGTACGCAGGTCGGAAGGCGACACACTTCTAGTGTCAGTTGGATAAAACGAGTCGAAATGTATTGGCAACATCGGCCAAGGAGAATGAGAGCACAAATAGTCGACCAACAGTGTCTTTCCCGAGCCAGGGATCCCGTAGACCAGCAGAATACAGCCAGAAAAGGCAGGTTCCGAGAGAGATGAAGAGGCCATTATGCTGAGATTTTCCCGCGAAAGTGGCGGTTCAAACGTGCGTAGGCGCTAATTACAGGGACATCCCCACCTACCTGTGATCGGACACGAGGTGGGTTGGGCATGGGGGATGCAAAAGCGATGGCCGAGAAAGCGCGCATCGTCCTGTCGGGCTCAGTTTCCAGTCATTCGGAACACGAGACGGACACGGAGCTGGAGATGAAGGCCAGGAGCAGCAGTGGCGGCGGGAGCGGGCATAGATCGCGCCGCACCAACTCCGAAAGCAGGTGCGTCTGTGTATCTGTAGGCTTTTAGCTAGCTAGGACTTTTGCCCCGCGCTAGTAGTAGTCTCCGGCTGACATCATGATGTTCATCGATGTAGTTTTTATGTGGAGAGTGTGGCTTCCACACCGCACAAACTGCATGCACTGCGTATTTTGTTTCATCCTATTTCGCGCGTCCCTGAGCACGTGCCCCTGCTGGCTGGCTAGCTAGCTAACTGGCAGAATCTAGAGGATCGCCATCGATCGGTCGCCTACACTGCACTCTTCTCGTAGCCAGCTGATTCTTAGATATGGCTGAAGCGGCCATTGTCGAAGCGGACATCACAACGTTAGACGGTACACTGGACTACCACAATATGTGTGATGAAGATGAACTGGGCTCTCTCGGATCAAGTTATTCTCCAGAGTAAGACAGCTATAGCTATCCTGCGTGATGACGTGGCTCAGTGGTGTTTAGACAGGTCTAATTGCTCAATCCTGTGTTACCTTTACCTACTAATTCTCCTCTGTACTTTATGAGTTTCGCATAATTATGATACATGGACACATGCATGCCACACAATGTACTGCACTATGCATTCTCGTGTGTATATATAGTAATGTATTTATGCAAGGCTTTCAGCTTCGTGAGTGATTTGTACTGTTGGTACAAGGGTGCCTCTAACTGGAGCAAAGGACTTATTGTCCGCACATCATGTAGGTATCCGCCTCCTCACTTTGTTCCAGTTCACGACCTAAATATTGTCGGTCCCTTCCCTCCCTCCCTTCTCCTTTCACCTCCTCACTCCGTCCCTCCCCACCCTTTCACTCCACAGACCACTCATCGACCGAAGCAGCTCCGTGGAGTCAACGTCAGTCAGTCTCCAGGTGAACCAGTTTGACGACCCCGAGTTCTCCTCCCTCGTACGGGTTGCCGAGGACGCCATCTTGTCCGGGATTCACCCCTCAGATGATCTCACAGGGCAGCAGTGGGAGCTACTTCATTCGAAATACTGACTCTGTGAGTGTTGCCTCTCTGCATGCGTGCATGTGTGTGGGGGGTTAGTAGAAGTCACACTTGAAATCAGGGGTGACTTAGATCGATGAAGATCGGAATACACTTGGTTGTGCTTCAGGCTTTATTCAGGTGAATCAACATCAACATGTATACTAATAGTGCTGATATGTGAATCAAATGTCAGAAATTTAGTGCAGACATACCATACACTCTGTGTGGTTCAGAGCTTGCTGCTGTTGTGTATGCATGAAAAGGTGTGGATATGCTGACACGGCTGTCCTTTCATTGTAACACAAATGGGGACATTGGGGATAAAAGAGAAGGGGGAGGTACTTGTGCTGTCGCTGTTTCATTAATCCACTCTTCTCGCATTCAATGCTGCCGCTGACTGAATGTATGTGTGTGCATGCACAGGAGATAATCTCAGTGTTCAAGCCCAAGGACGAGGAGCCCTACGGACAGCTCAACCCCAAGTGGACCAAGTGGATGCACAAGATATGCTGTCCGTGTTGTTTCGGTCGGAGCTGTCTGGTGCCCAACCAGGGATACCTCTCTGAGGCAGGAGCCAGCATTGTGGACGAGAAGCTGGTCCTGGACATTGTACCCAAGACCAAAGTGAGCCTCTATCGATGAAGAAAGCAGCTGCGTTTTGGCAGAGAGCAAAGAATGCGGACACTTCATATAATGGTCCACCCTTGCCACACGAAATTTTACAGATAAAAATTTGGGCAATACCAGGAAGTTTCCCATTGTCTAATTATACTGAGTACAACATTGCCACTAGTGCTGTATGTGTGATTGGTTGTGGCAGGTTGTTCACCTGGCATCGGAGGTGTTCCATTATCATGCCAACGACAGGATGAAGATCAGAATGAGGCGGTTTGCCACGGAGCAGTGGCCGACCACCATCGGGAAGAGGGTCTCGCAGGATCTGCCTCTGAAGGTAGTCACACTGCTACTGCTGCCTGCCTCTAGTCTACCTGATTGTTCGGTTCATCTGTATCTTTATACCCAGGTGGGGTCGTTTCAGGTGTTTGTGAAGGGATACAAAGACGCGGAGGTTCAACTGGAGGAGTTCAAGTCCGACGTTCTTCCACCTCACCTCGAGAGGGCTCTGCAGCTGGAGTTTGAGCGACTGGTTGTCCTGGATTACATCATCAGGAACACGGACCGCGGCAACGACAATTGGCTCCTGCGATACGAGGAGCCAACCATCCACGGAGAGCTGAACGACGTGGACATTAGTCTCGACACAAGTCGCTCGGTATGTCAACTTCCTCTGTTCTGTGGCACAAGAGAACTCGGGGCCACTGCACACAGTTGGGAGATTTCCTTTTACGTCTCACTGTAATACTCTCCTATCGTCAAAATAATTATTGAAAAATTAGTAGTGGAAAAGCCTGGGTTTCTTGGTTAGACGTCTGTTGTCTTTGCTGCGCGCACACACACACACACACATTGACTGCAGGAGGAGAAGAGGTGGTCTCTGATTACTCCCTCAGAGGAGCAAGGCTCCGTAAAGATAGCGGCCATCGACAACGGTCTGGCCTTTCCATTCAAACACCCCGACGAGTGGAGAACCTGTAAGACCAGTCTGACACGCTTATATATACAGCTCTGAGGAAAATCAAAGTTTCCAAGTCCCGATGTTTCAGATCCATTCTACTGGGCGTGGCTCCCCATGGCCAAGATTCCGTTCTCTGAAGAGACAAAGACACTGGTTCTTGACAAGTTGAAAGATCATGAGTTTGTGCAAGGTCTGGTCGACGACCTGAGGAGGCTCTTCAAGGTAGTATTATAGCTGTGCATCATATATTATGTATAGATTTGTGTCTTTTGTGGAACAGTTTTTCAGTTTATGCTATAGGGCATTGGTGTAAGTGTTCCTCTTTCTCTCATAATGTACGCAGACAGACAAAGGATACGATCAGTCGACATTTGACAAGCAAATGGCAGTAATGAGAGGCCAGGTAAGCAATTGCTTGCACACACACACACACACACACTCTCTCTCTCTCTCTCTCTCTTACTCGCTGCAGATCCTCAACCTGACTAATGCCCTCGAGAACAGGAAGACTCCATGGCAGCTAGTCAATCTTCCTCCAGTCACCATTGAGGCCATCAAGGAGGGCAGAACTCGTAGATTCATTCAGAAATTCAGGGACAGAACACCTTTCTTCAAGGGCTGCTAGGCAGCAATCGCAGCTCCTTCCCCCCTACCTGATAGAATTTTATCTCCACGTGTAATCCCGTGTGTCTGTGTGTTGTGTGTGTCACGTTGTTCGTATATACATGTTTGAGAACGAGTGTATTGAGAAGGTGCTCCGTGTCCTCAGCGCTACTTAGACGATTTCTTCTTCTCTTTTGCCTTTGGTTGGGGTGATTTCTTCAGGTGTTGCTCCTCCTCGTACGCCTCATCAGTTTTCTTCCTGCTCCTGTCACTCTTTGCAGCATCCCTCCGTTTTGGCTTTCTCCTCGACTTGGTCGACTTCTCGCCATGGGTCTCCAAGTTCTGTAGCAGTTCCTAAGGGGAGAGAGAGTGTTTCCAATGACTCGGTTTAGTGTACCCTCAGACGTGCACTGACCATTGTGTCATCAACATTACCAGCGTCGTTTGTGAGGTCTTCTGTAGGAGCTTTGACTTCAAAAACACCCTTCTCTTTTAGTGTTCTGTAGACTTTCCTGCACATCATAACTTTCTATTAACTCACTGTTATGGTACCATTTTAAAAAAGCCTGAAACATTACCCTTTAGCAACCAACTGTGAAAGTGGGAAGGGATCATTTGTATGGCAGTCCATGAAAAATATCTCTTAGCTTGCTGTCAAATCCCAAACGTTTTCTTTCTCGAAAGGTCCCCCCACTAAGCAGAACTTGTCTTTCTTGGTGAGTGTTGGTGACAGGCTTACCAGGCGACCACTGTTGCCAGCACAGCCAGCACTGCCAGAGCTGCGAAGATGATCAGAACCACGGTGATCTTGCCAGCCGTCTTCATGTTGTCGACCGTCTCGACGTCCATTACCTTGTCGCAGTTCATTCTGTCCACCCACGTCGCCTTACGCTGCCTCCTGTGGTCCGGAGCACCTGTAATAGAGATTAGTTCCAGAACCAACTAAATTCAACTGTCAGAGTGTCTAACATAGTACTGCTGGATAACAATTGAGTCAGGGAACCAAGTTAATGTTGTGTAGCACTAGAACTTGAGACAGCCACAAGCATCAATCGTTTAGTGCAAATCTAAGAAAACGGCACTAATGGTTGCGGTAGTATGGATTGAAACTGCAGAGTTGGCCACAGCCAGAGTGTCTGCATACCTCGAGGGTAGACAGTCAGTGAGACATCCTCTGAGACTACCTGGAACCCGTTGTCAGCGAGGCAGGTGTAGGTCCCTGTGTGTGACAGGTTGGTGGGGGGCAGAGTTAGCTCCACGGCACTCCTGCTCCCAGTGATGTCCAGCCTCTCTGTGTCTGTCAACTCCTGCATCGTGTCCAGCACATCATGCCTCATAATGTACAATATAGAGTCTTCACCTGTCCTGAGTTTACTTGCCACTTGACGGTGGTGTTAGCAGGCAAATCAGTTAGGACTATACACTGTAGTGAGACAGACACTCCTTCTTCCACTTTAACTCTTGTAGGATTCACTAGCAGTGTCATTTCTGCGGGAAAACGAACTTCGATTAGTTGCTGTAAATATAACATGCCATTCGTGTACCCTCTAGTCTACGGAGCTTTATTTCCAGAGTCGCTGTCTCTCCGTTCTTGTTACTCATTTTAATGGTATAGGTGCCGGTTATCCCGGCATCCACCCAGGGAATGTTGACCTTGTACTTGGCTCTGATCTGAAAGAATTCGTGCTCTAGGAATTCTGGTATCAGCTCGCTCTGTCTCTTTCTCTGAATGCCGTCCGATCTGACGATGTCGACGGTGACTATGTCTGAAGTGGAGAAGACGTCCGTGAAGAAATATCCAGTTTCGTTGGTGTGAGGGAAGTACACTGTCTTCCCTTTCTGTCCCACCAACTCAATCTTTGGCACTGCAAGAAAGACCAAATCAGTAGTAGCAAGTGTCAAATTTTCGCCCCTAACAAGACGCCAAATTATGCACAAAACCTCTGCAAATTTGAAGCGTAGCCCTAGTTTTAAACCGAAGCCTTCAGAATCAGTTTTGTGTGTGCTACACATAGTCACACCGTGCATTCACGTGTCTCTTTACATTGTTCGAATCGGAGTGTGATGGCTTTCTCCACTTGCGCCGGGAACCATTTGTTGTCTGGTAGGTAGTAATAGCTGCCAGTGCAGGAGACACCGTATCTGCCACTCTTCTCTGATGAAGCTGGCACATTGAACATCACTCTAGTCAGGTGTTTACTGATGTGCAACACGTGACTGCTCGTTTTCCCGATGTCCAGAGAGATCGGGGTTGCAGTGTACGCTCGTTGGAGACTACACTTGACCTTGTCTCTGGAGGATTCGTGGAAGATCAGGATAGAGACGGGAAGGCTGTAGATTTGGTCGCGCAACTCGGGGATGACCAGGTCGGTGTGGTCTCGAAGTCTCAGATCGTCGTGGTTGCCCCTGTCCATGAACAGTGTGTATAGAGTGACAGAGAACGGATCCATAGCTGCAGCAGTAGAGAACAGTGGACAACAGTAGCTGACTAGCTTTGTACAAGAGATATATACCAGGTGCGCATAATATGCTGTAAATCTTAAGCATTTTTGTGCTCCCATAGGAAATGTATGGAGTAATAGCTGGACACATGGGCAGAAATTTTTCAAAAATTACGTTCAAAACACACACTTGGCAGCTGTGATCTATACCTGCCTCAGTTGGTTTCAGGTCACGGATTGTGGCAGTGTAGTACACAGATTCACCGGGGAGTTTTCTGAATGTGTTCTTGTCCCCCCAACAGAGGCTGAGCCTCCCCACCATCCACGGCTCCACTGGTCTCATTAGCTGCACATGACATAAACACCAAATGATATTATACAGCCCACTTTACATCTGCAATTATTACAGACTAAATTCAATTTGCAAGTACGTTTTTCTAAAAGTTTATTTCACTCACTGTGACTGAATATGTGACAGTGAGTTTGTCATCTTCCCACCTTTCACTGTCCACTGTAAGTGAACACCAGTGAGGTGGACATGCTGAATGTACTGCCCTGCAATAATATCACATCATTTGGGGAGTGGATATTAGTACAATAAACCTTGGATACTCTTTGTCCAGTGTCATCATCAGGAAGATAATGTTTTCACTCCCCTGTGCACTGATGTGTTTCTTGTTGATGCTAAACTCTGCCTTCCTTCTGGTGTACCTGATGATAGCCCCACTGGATAACTGCAGAATGAAGAACAGAACAAAAACGGCACAATTGAACTTCATTTTTGCAGCTGCGACGGTTTATTGCGTTTTGCTATTGCGCATGCGCAAAAACGTACGGGTGAGCGCCAATTGGAATAAGTATGACGAGAGGAGATGCGAGCATGCAACTGGTATCGGTTCCTTGTGTTGTGCATGCTCGCTGCGGCTCTCCTGGGAGTCCTCAACCTCTACTTCGGTCAGCCTCCGCCGGAGCCGTGCGGGTGCGACTGCACGCAGGCCCTGGCAAGGCAGCGAGCCGAGCTCAAGGTCTTCTACGAGCATGAGATCGAGACGAAGGAAAAGAAAATCAAGCAGTTGGCGGAGTCTGCATCGGCTCTGCGTGACTCTATGAAGACAGCTGAGGTGGAAATAGTAGAGGAGGGGACGGGGCGTCACCGGTTGGCGGTATTAGTGCCGTTCAGGAACAGACATGAAGAACTCCAAGAGTTTGTGCCGCACATCCACCGGTTTCTGTCCAGACAGAGTGTCCTTCATGACATATGGATCATAAACCAGGCCGACTCCTACAGGTCTGCCTCCCAGTTCCAAATTTTGCTAGCTCTACATTTCCACCTGTCCCTAAAACGGAATTCGTGCAGAATTTCACGTGCAAAGCTCACACCCAGTGTCCCACACATTTCTCAGCCACAAGCATTTGGCATGCATTTAGAGTAAGTGAGTTAACGGTGACATGACAGTATTGACTATGTGGTTTAAGCAGTTTTGGGTGCATGTGTTCAATATTGCCAAATCAAAGAAACCTGCTACATATACGAAGTGTAAGTGTGTGTATCTGGTCCAGGTTCAACAGAGCCAGTCTCCTCAATGCTGGGTTTCTCATGAGTCGCGATCGCTGTGACTACATCGTCATGCACGACGTGGACCTCTTGCCCGACAACGACCAGCTACAGTACAGCTACCCTTCCTCCGGACCCTATCACATCTCCTCTCCCTCCCTCCACCCTCTCTACCACTACAAGACCTTCGTTGGTGGTGTCCTGTCACTCACACGGGGACAGTTTGAGCAGGTTACGTCTGCCTCCTTTGGAACCCAATGCAGCGTGCTACACTGTGCATGTGGCCCAATGTGGAGCCTATAGCTCACCAAGTACTGGAGTGAACATGTGTTATATACTTCTCATACGTAGCCAATTAAGTTCGTGTTCATATATAGTCAAGTCATAGGAGTGCATGTTTCAGCCTGTTAGGGAGTGGCTTGTGTGGCAGTGTAACTGAAGCTCCAGTGTTTTCACTCTTGTACTGAGTCTGGTGTACAGGTTTCACCGTGCAAAACCCTCACTCTGGGAGCAGTAAGTGAGTGTGTGTGTTGTTTCCTCTGTGACAGGTGAACGGGATGTCAAACCTGTTCTGGGGCTGGGGGAGGGAGGACGACGAGTTCTACCAACGAATGAAGGAAGCCGGAATGACAGTGAGTCCGGAGAGCAGTCAATTCTCAGTGTCCCTGTATAACTATACACGTAATATGTAGTTGTATTATAGTAGTGTGCTTGTTGTGTATGACCAAGTGTAGCTGAGGGACAGCCACTCAACTGCTGCCCTGCATGCTGCATGCCCTCAAGTGCTGTCCAGTGCCTGACAGGGGAAGCCAAGTGTTTTGGTTAGCTAACTAATGGTTTACTGACCAACCCCCAACAGTCTCCCCCTGACTGCCATAAATAGGTATATCGCGGGTCATGCACAGGGGAAGAAAAAGGGTATTTCTTGTTTGTTTGCAGATTCAGTACCCGACTGGGATAACCACGGGCTACAACACCTTCAGACACAACCACGACAAAAAGAAGAGACCTCGTGACCAGGAGTCATACTACAGCAAACAAATAGTGGGTTATATACAGCTATCCCAACACATTGACCAGTGTTGTATTCTCTCTCCTTCCCCCTTCTCTCCCTCTCTCTTTCATTTTCTCTCCCTCTCCATTTCTAATTTTCCTCCGTCCTTACTCCCCCTGCAGAAGAGCGTAATGAAAGATCGCTCCTCTGGACTAAGCTCACTTCAATACACTCTAGTCTCTCACGTGAACATGACTATTAACAATGCTCCGTTTCACTTTGTCAGCATTGAGTTGCACTGCGATCCCGATGTCACCCCAGCCTGCGTCAGCAAACAAAGATAGTGTCGTGTAACTCTGATTTTTATACTATTAGAAATTTTGACTGTTTGAGCTGCCGAAAGAGCATGCTGATTAATTGACGAGTTGTGAGTGTGTTTTGGGTATTTCAGGTTTGAGTGCTGACAGAAGTAAAGGCTTTGGAACAAAAATAATGACGGACAAGATTGGTACTCAACTGATTGATTACAGGATAAGAGTAAAATGATGAGTAAATGATCAATGGGAGGAGTCTGCCGAGAGGTCAAAGAGTTCGTTGGTCGTGAGTTGATGGGGTCGGAGTACAGCCAGTCGGTCCTGAAGGACTGAGAGGAGGGGCAAAGGGCGGGGCTTGCTCAAGACGAGAGAAGGGAGGTACGCGTCGGCGGAGCTGCAGAGGTTCGAGAGGTGTTTGAGCGACTTGGAGACTTGAGTGAGGTTCCGTCCGAGTGTCGATTGTCGTTGGGAGGCCTCTCTCCTCACACAGTCCAGGAGCTGGGCAAATATCTCCCGACTGGAAGAGCAGGCGTCTTTGACGCTGTTTGTGAGCGTGCGGATACGTCCGAGGTCAGAGGAGCCAGCGAGAGCCTCGTCAACAATGTCTCTGGCCATGCATATGGCTGCGAGATCTCGCTTGGTGAGGGTGGCAGAGTTTGGGAGACAAAACTGCACGTGGAGTGGCGAGGATGACTGCTGCAGAAGTTTCATCTTCAGGCGAAACGAAAGTCCGGCGAGGGTGGCTAGAAACACCTGCCCAAAGTGACTGGCCAGCGGTATCTCTCTGCTGGTTTCCGTGAGGTGCGGATCGTCCGCCCCCATCATTATCATCTGGCTAGCAGCTCCATCCACGCACTGGAAGTTGGCCGTGCGTGGGAGGGGACAACGCCTGACGTGGAGCTTTCCGTATGAATATGAGAGACCCTGTCGACGGAGGAGACTGGAGTGGCCGGTGATCATGGGGAGGTGGGACGGGGCGTCTTTCTCTAGTTTTTTCAGAACTGTTCTCTGAGCCTTCTGGAGGGTCCAATCGACCGGGAGAACTGTGCCGGGGCTCACTAGATGTCTGCCGGAGTACAGCTCTGGGGGAACCTCAACGAGGGGTTCGTTGCCACAGATGTGGCGGAGGATGATCTTACTTCCCTGGCCGTGTGTTACATAGGACTCCAGGGACTCCGGGGCTGGCGTGCTGAGAAACAGCAGCATGCTTGACTCCTGAGACCTGTCTTGCTCATCGCCCCTGAAGTGATTGACAATATCATCGGCAGTCAATTTCGTGAGGTCGCAGTGTGGAAACACCACCAGTTTTCCTCGATACGACTCTCTGAACGGAGGGAGGCTTTGATTATAGTTGTCTCCGTCGGAGGAGCTGGAGTCCCAGTAATCAAAAGAGACTTCGAGCAGTTCAAAGATCCTCTGCCAGAAAAACATCTCCCTCTCTCCGACACACTCTGACTTGATGAACAGGACGTCTGAGAGCTGCTGGCTGGGAGAGGAGCTGGGAGAATAAGCAGGGGCCACCCTAATTTCGGAAAAGTTGTACTCGACTAGTTTTCCTCGCAGGTAGAGCTCAGTCTGCCACCTCAGCGTCTCTCCAACCTCTCCCTGGAGGCGAGCGACGATCGGGACCGAGAGGATCGCCCCTGGTTTCAACTCCTTGACGAGGACAAAGAGACTGCTGGGGTTGTTTGGATCGTAACTGGCCTCAAACATCCTCTCTCTGTCAGACGAGGAGGGGCTTATGCCAAGTAGGTGGAGTCTGGGGTCCAGGAGAATGTGTATCAACACACTCCCCCTGGACTGAGAGCCCCTGCCATAATGACTGCTGGACGACGTGTTCTCGATGCCAATCTCCAACATAGTGACTTCTCCGCAACAGACGTTTTTCTTGGCGAGAGTGTAGGCCAGGTTGACGGGGTACTGTACCGCCACACTCTGCTCGAGGCGCGACCTCTCAAACGGTCGTCCGAGCAAGTCGATCCTGGGAGCAAACTTGGCCTCGTGGGAGAGAGGACCGGGAGTGTTCGGAGAGGGTTCGTCCACGATCCTGCCACGGAAGACAGCTGGGATGATGAATTGTTCCCCTGGCTCCAATCCAGGTAGAGTGAATGTCGTCGGTTCGAATCTGACGGTCTCCATGGATGGAATGGAAACTTTTGCTCCAGCAGGTAGGGGAAGACCCCCGCTATTAACCACAGTCATATTGGTCACTCGAATCTGCTGATGGGGTTCAAACACCTCATCCTGGCCACAGGAAGTCAGGTCCATTGTCACAACTTCTGCCTCAAAGCGAGTGGAAGCTGAGTGGGTCACACCTCCGTCTTCTGTGGTTATCGCCCACTCGACACTTCCTGGTTTGTGGGCAAAGCCCGGCTCTCCATCCAAACCGTCTTCACCGCTGTCTCCAGATCTTCCAGGCTTTCCCTGCAGCCCCTCGCTGTTGCTAGCCGGTCCTCCGAGACCCATGTTCCCACCACTTCCCCCGCGCCCTCCTCTCCCGGCTTTACCAGGCAGGCCAGAGTCACAGTCGACCTCCACCAGCATCAACAACCGAGGGTCTACTACTCTCACGATACAGTTCCCACCCCTCCCTCCACAGCCAGCGTTTCCCCCACTCCCTCCCCTCCCTCCGTGAGCTCCGTCACCTCCGTGACCCCCGTCCCCTCCACTGGAACCCCTCCCACCATCTCCGCCGTCACCTCCCCTCCCCCCACGTCCCCCGTTTCCCCCGTCGCCCCCATCTCCCCCACTGCAGTCCACCAACAGCACCTCCTCACACTCATCTCCACCGAGTCGAGCCACCGACTGACACGTTCCGGCAATCCCCAGGTCCTTGGCATCGCCATACAGCTCCACAATCACGTTCCTGCCCATCCCCCCGTCCTCCCCTGGCTCTGCGTGTCTCCCATCCCGTCCATTAGCGCCGTCTCCTCCATCACCACCATCAATCACAAGTTCTCCCGTGGTGTTCAGGCCGTCTCCACCTCGATGTCCGTCGGCTGAGGGTTTTGCCGACATCCCGTGTCTTCCCTTCTTTCCACAGGCTCTCAGGATGCAGCCGTGCGGTTTCCTCGCCGCTCGCTGCGCAGTGGCTCTGACTGTGTCTGGATGACAAGCTGGGAGACTTAAGTTTGCTTCCGCCTGTTTCTTGTGAACCGTGATCTGAGACGTTCGGACTTGGGGTCTGAAACTCTTTCTCTGTCGGGGGTCGTTGGCAGTCACAATCTTCTTGTTGCAGTCGAGGAAGTAGTAGAGTTCGTTCTCCTGATCCCATACTGCTGTCTGTCCCGATTCCAGACCAGCGGCAGCCCCGCAGCCGATAATGGAGGGGTAGTTGGTAGGCGATCCATGAGGAGGCCGAAATTCAATTTTCCCCCCACTGCAGGGAACTCTTTTCAAGTCAGTTTGCGAGGGATCGTAATTTTGCAACTTCACACCAGGCAACACAGGAGAAGGGAGCTCGGAATTAGGGAAGTAGAATTCGCTTGGAAATGTTTGCAAAGCCTCTTGGAAGGACCTGGGGATGTTTTTGTACACCTCTGCCAGTTGGCTGTTCTGCGACCTGGCATTGTAGGTCTTCTGTCTGTGCAGCAGCTGCCGGAGTCTGGCGCTACAGCCGGATTTGGACGACGCCTCTGAATTCTGCGGTGGCCGCGAGAAGAGCCCTGGTCCCGTGGCTCCGAGAGCCGCCATGAACCCTCTCTGCTGGACGATATCCTCGGCTCTGAACGTGCTCAGCAGCTCGCCCGAAGGCAGCGCTCCGCGGTAGATGCTGAAGCCCGTATAATCCTCGCTTGCTGCGTCCGTGGAGAGCGAGGAGGTACGGATGCCGGAAGAGCCGGGTGCGCTGGTCGGCAGAGACAGAAGAAGCTTCGCCATTCCAGACTGTTCCTTTCCCTGGGACTCCGTTAACTGGTACGCGTCTTTGCCGCGACGTGCTGAAGGGAAAGATAAAATTTGTTGATAGCTAGCTATATAGCTAGCTAGAATCTTGCGAAATGCGAATAATCTTGCAACTTTTTTCATGCCTGCCTCCTCCTTACCGGGCTCGACTTTGAACCACTTCTGCTTCCACTTGTTCACCTTCGTCTGCGCCCGGTGCCGCCTGCGGCGGAGCGGACCCTCGCAGAAGTGCAATCCACCTTCCCGGAGCGCTGCGAGCTGCAGCTCCGTCTGCTCGTCTCGATCCTGCACATCTGCATCCAGGCAAATTGTGTTCGTCGACATGAGTTCGATGCTAGCTAGCTACGGTGTGTGAGTCGTGAGAATTGTGAGGTGTTCTTCGCAGCCTTTTATGCTGCGGTGGATGACCGTCGCGCGTTGACGAGCCCACCCACGCAAACGCGCACGCACTTAACGCGGGCTGATCGACAACACGCGCGCACGCTCGTCAAATGCGGATCCGGTATGCTTGTCGTCACCTTTTCTCCGGCTCAGCGACTGTTTCCTCTCTGACGCGTGTTGTCCGGAGTTCTCGGTTCTCGGGCCTCGGCGAGGGAGCCGAGCATGCCGGTGGTACGCCAGGAAGAAGAGTGCATCCATAAATCTCCTCTGGACACTAGGAAATACAGGTAGAGATAGCACATGCGTTTTGTTTTGACGTCACGTGAGGCACACGTGATTGTTTCACAGACATCTTACACTGGACAATGAGCTGCAGGCTATCCTTGTCTCAGACTCTACCACTGAGAAGGCAGCTGCCTCTCTGTCTGTCAGAGTAGGTGAGACACGTTCCCTAGGCAATGGGGGAAATAAAGTGAGCCCCTGACAATCAATTTCGTCATACGTATCCAGGCTATCTGTGTGACCCAGAAGAGATCCCTGGTCTTGCCCACTTCTGCGAGCACATGCTGTTCCTTGGAACCGAGAAGGTATGAATGTCCAGCTGGGAACCTTGACTTTTTTGCCAATATTGAGCCGTAATACATCTGTTGCCGGGATCCATTTCTATCAGGCAATCAAATTACTATCATTTTGCAAACGTTTCTCTGCGAAATAAGAACTTGTGAATCTCTCACTGCAGTATCCATCAGAGAATTCCTACAGAGAGGTATGACGTCTTTTGTACCCTTTAATTTTCCTGGTATGGTCTCTTCCTTCATCTATCTTCTTTTCCTCTCGTTCTCGCCTCTCCTCGCTCCATTTTCTCATCCCGTCGTCCCTGCTGCAGTTTCTTTCCCAGAATGCCGGAGCCAGCAACGCAATGACGTCCGCGGAATTCACTACGTTCTTCTTCGACATTGATTGGGAGCACTTGCGTGGTGCCCTAGACCGGTAATGAACTGTACATACATACATACATGTGTATATAAATTCCAGCTGAACCCACTGAACCACTTACCGTGCAAAAAGTGTGTAATTGACAACTATTTAACACACAAGTGTTTCCTTCTCCTCTCTTCTGAGAAAGCCGGATTTGACATTCTCGGTTCATGTCAGCATAATTGCATTGTCCACACCTCCTGGTAATTAAGTGTGGCGATACGTCACCCTGCAACTATTTATATCTTTCCTCCTATTTCCTGAGAATGTGAGATGTCCCCCAATGTTGGTGATTCTCTGTGTCAGCATACTGCCCACCTCAGAGACTTCAAAACATTGTTGAGTGAGATTGAATTGTGCGTGCCACACAGGTTTGCCCAGTTCTTCCAGTCTCCTCTCTTTAATGCCAGTGCCACTGACAGAGAAGTCAAGGCCGTTGACTCAGGTGAGAGGAGGAACTCTGTTAACTAGGAAAAATTATTGCCAGTGCACTTCCTGTTGCATTGACTCACTTCCGTCAACTTCCACTTTTCCTGGTTGCATTTCCTACAGTGGCAAAATGCCTCTTGCCTCCGTTCAACGTGGAGGCCATGATACTCAATCCAAATGTATGGGTATAGTGTGTCAATGCAATACGATACGACACCGATACATTTTAAGTTGCATGTGACTTTGTATCGCACAAAAGTTCATCACATTGCCTCACACACACACACTCACTCACTCACAGAGAATGATCGTAACCTCCAGGAGGACGCCTGGCGAATACAGCAGGTCCTGAGACACCTCTCCAAACACGACCACCCCCACAGGAAATTCGGAACAGGTTGAAAATCGTTTTATTTTTGGGGCATACTCGCCCACACTCATTCCTCCCTTAATTAGAGGGTCTGGGTTCATGTCCATAGGTTATCAGGCTGCTTTATGTTGCCCCCTACAATTTTACATATCTTTTTATACATATTTCACTGCTTCCATGTTTATGCTTATACAGCCGCTTTCATTATTAGGCTTTCCTCCTTCTCCCATAAATTTTCCTTGTTGGCTGCACCATTCCCAACAGCTCCTTGTGGGTCAACAGTTCATATTCTGAATCTCTACGTCGAGAATGCAACGCACGGTGAGCGAATGTGGCCTGTTGTGTAACTGCAGGTAACAGTGCAACACTGGACCGCCGGCCGCGGGAATTGGACCTCGATGTGAGAGAAGAACTGAGAAAGTTTCACTCGGGACACTACTCCTCCAACCTCATGCGACTGGCCGTGATCGGGAGAGGTGAGCCCCGGCCCCGGTCACGTGACAGTCATGTGATCCTCGTGTGACCCCCCAGAGGACCTGGACGAGCTGACGTCGCTGGTTGAAGAGCTGTTCTCTCCAGTCCTCAACAAGAACAAGCCGGTGCCAGTCTTTCCCGATCATCCCTACTCCCCTGAAGACCTGCAGGTAACGATGCTGACTCACAAACTAGACCAGTTTCTATTTGCAATCAGTTCAATTACACTTCCATGGCAATGATCATAGATGTGTAGTTTATATAAGAGCTGAGTTGAGTGGATAAGAATGTGTGTACCAGTCAGTTTTTTGCACCTGTTGGCACATGCCGAGCTTTATTCCACGTATCTCGGTTGTTATGGAGTGCATGCACTGTTGCCATGGTATTGAAATCCCTAGCTACCAAGCGATAATTTTGGTTTTGACCACCTGAAAGCCTGTGATTGTGAATCGGTAATGGTCCGTGATGTTGTAAAGTACTGGTGTGTCCCTCGCCAAACAAACCCCTCTCTGCTGCCTGGTGTGTTTCAGGCGATGACCTAGTTACTCAACAGATGCCCCTCTCTCCATGTCTGTTGTGGTGTATATACTACCCCCCACCCCCCCTGAATGTGGGTGATTAACTCTCGGCGTGCTTAATCACCCACACTGTTACCAATCACACTCCTACATGGGTCTTTTTGAATCCTAACGGACATTATACAGTTTCTCGTAGGCTTTCAGTTCCATATTAGCTCGTGGATATTATTTTGTTGTATTTTAGCTAATGGATGTTCGATTTTAGCTGATGCATATTCTGTATGGATTGTGTAATGAGTGTGGGAGAGGAGGGGGACAGCCTGGGGTTCCTCCGTCCAAATTTACCACGTGATAAGTGTGGGAGAGGAGGGGGACAGCCTGGGGTTCCTCCGTCCAAATTTACCACGTGGTACTCTCCCTCTTTCTGTGTTTTTGGTGCTAAGTTGTTATGACGTGTGCCGTAATCTTTTGAGCTACCGTACATAGGGACGTGTGTATTTCCCTGTGTGTCTGAGTTACCCTAGCTGGCTGGGGGAGCCATCAAGGGAAAGATTTGGTATGCGCAAATGGCGCTAGTTATGATCACTGAAGTTACACTGGAAGTACAAGAATCGAAACCATGTGTTCGCCATATGCGTTAAACTGCACTTTTCAATGTTTGTGCACATGTAGACCTGTTATTGCTTCACTGCCAACGACGCACACATTCGCACCTGTTGTTCCTTTTTCAAATGCCACCTGGGTAAACGTTTCCCCCACAATAATATGTCTATCGCCATCCAATTCTGACGTGACCTGTTGATGCCAACTCGTGTCCTCCCCCCCTCCCTCGGCCTTTGTTCTCTTTAGCTGTGGATCGAGTGTGTGCCTGTGAAGGAGTTACGACAATTGATGATAGAATTCCCAATCCCCGATCTCCACGACTATTACTACTGCGACGTGAGTATTTCATACACATCTCTCCTTTAGAACTGCGTATAGTATCCTATTGTATTTAGTCAATCCTGACCCGCTGCACAGCCAATGCAAACTATTCCTCTAGACCCACCATGTAATGGAGGCCTACAGCTAGCTGCAGTGCTGGCTGACCTAGTTTGTGCATGACTCTAGGTGCCTGGAGTTAGGGGCTGTAGAAACAGAGAATTGAAGCGACACTGAATGCGTGCTGGCCACCAAAAATCAAATCACACACTCTCTCTCTCTCTCTCTCTTCCCCTCTCCTCCTCCCTGCAGCCAATCCTGTACGTCTCCCATCTGATTGGTCACGAAGGTGGAGGAAGTCTGTTTGCCCACCTGAAATCTAAAGGTATCGTACACGCACGCACACACACACACACCACACACACACAGGTGTCAGAACCAATTCCTCCGCTAATTCTGTGCATGCAAACCTCCGTCATTACCTGCCCGAGAGCTGCAGGTGATACCCCTGTCTACAAAGGGTTAACTAATGAAATGGTCATCCTGATAATTAGCGGGTGCTGGGGATATCTGTCTTCCCTCCCCCTCTCTCTTCCCTTGCTTGAAACCTATTATGAACATTCCACTGTAGAGTGTCATTAATTTGGGGAGTGGAGTTAGCTGCCAAATGGCTACATCCAGCATCAATGTTTTAAATCCCACCACAGTAATTCTCAGGCAGTTTACAGTACTACCATTGTGTTGAGAGAACGTAGCATGATCTCTGCTAATATTTGCACACAATGTGCACATGTTTATGTTTAGATGTGTCTCTCCGTCTGAAGTTTCTCACGCTGGATTAAATCGTTTAACATCACTTCACTTCACAGGATGGTGTAATACACTGACGGCAGGTCCAACTGCGGGAGCCAAGGGTTACAGCTTCTTTGCCGTCAGAATGGTGCTGAGCTCTCAGGGAGAAGGTACTGGTCTATAGCACCCTGTGAGGTCTTCAACACTTAGCAATCTACACTCAGCAATGTTTGATTATGCTGCAGTGTAACAACTCACACCCACGCAAGCGCAAGCGGAGCACTCTTCCTGTTTTGAGCTGTACCAGCGCTGCGGGTAGGGGGGGAGGGCGTGGAGATCAAGTCAAGTCCTGTGTCTCTATAACTGTAGTACTTCCTTGTTTTGGGGGGAGTTATGTTCAGAGGTGTAGAAGCCTCAAGCCTTTCCCTTTTGGAGTGTTTC